TCAACAACGCGCCCCCCCCCCCCCGCAGCATGATTGTTGTTCATTCGTAGGGTGTGTGTGTGCGCGCCGTTGTTCGGAACGGTACGGGGGCAGATAAGTCGATGCGGCCCTTTAGTGTCGTACGATGCTTGTAGAATGAACCGCCTGCCAACCTGCCTGTGTTAAAATGGATACCCTGCTTGCAAAATGCTCGACTTTGCCCAGTCTATGAGATAATAATATGCGCTAAACGACTTGGAGGCAACCTTCAGCTGGTCAGCTTGACGTGGGAGGGTTTGGGATAGAAACCTCAAAGGGATTGAGATTGACCACGAGGGGATTGAGATTGCCCTATGAGGGGATTGAGATTGCCTCACGGGGGGATTGAGATAGACCAACAGGGGATTGAGATTGACACAACAGGGGATTGAGATTGACACAACAGGGGATTGAGATTGACACAACAGGGGATTGAGATTGACACAACAGGGGATTGAGATTGACACAACAGGGGATTGAGATTGAGACCCCTTGGATTGAGTTTACACTTTCGGATTGAGACCAAGGGGTGGTTAGGATTGAGGCCAGTTGCCTACCCTCCTCTCCCGGCACACAACCCGGTGGACACACCAGTCCCCGGTGGATTCGGGGCGCATATACGGGTAACCGACGTTTTAGCATGCAAGGTGCTCAGCTCCGTCCCAGAAATTGCTGCCAATCTTTTTGTGCGTCCTCTCCTTTGCAAAACATGTTTCGTAAACGCACGACACATTATCATTCTGCTCTGTCTAATCAGCTCGGTGCAGTTAGGTGCAAGTTTGGGGTGCACTGGATAGAAAATCTTGCAGAATGGGGCAAAACACGCCCGCGCAAACGCTCCGATCCTAACGGTAAGGGTCTGCGCGTTGTTGCCTCAGTTGGGGTCCCCGGATATCCTAGGAGCGCGGGTATGTATATTTTGCTGGTGTTTGTGGTCCACGCTGCGCAAAGCTTGGCATTGGTAGTCATGGGAAGATTGGCAAAAATTTGCCGCCGAACGCAGTTTTGTACGACACGCCGTAATGCAGTCCCACAGTGAAGGTATGCCGTTTATGCGTGAATAGGTATTTGTCATGAACACTACAGTACGCTCTCATTCATTTACTTCTTGGCATAGGCGGTGGGAACCCTGTAAAAGATCTTTCCGTTGAGATCGGACAGCAAACTTAAAGCTTAAGTGTTACTAGGGCACAGACATTGCTGTCTTGAAACGGTACTATATTTAGGAAGTAACGGCAGCTTTGGGCTGCCAAAATGGCTGAGTCGCAGGTGAGCAGCATTGCGTGGACAAAGCTATCGGTTGTCTGCTATAGTATTTTTGTTGATCAGTAACGGTTTAAACCCGTTATAAAGCTTGGCGTGCAAGGCTTATTTGGTCACGGCATACATGGCCTCGCGTGAAGCTAATTGGCGCTATCGGGGTCCCTCTTGTCCGCGATGCAGTATTCATTCTCCCTCACGACTTTTAGCCCAAGTGGGAAGTTAGTACAGATTGAGTATGCACTCAATGCCGTGGCCGCTGGTGCGACGTCGCTTGGCATCAGTGCGACAGATGGTGTCGTCATCGCTACAGAGAAGAAGCTGCCGTCGGCGCTGGTAGATGAGACAACAGTGCAGAAGATCATGACTATCACGCCAAGCATCGGCGTAGTATACAGCGGCATGGGGCCAGACTTTCGTGTGCTGGTACGGCGCGCACGGAAGACAGCACAGGCCTATTACCAAACGTATAAGGAGCACATTCCGGTGGCACAGCTCGTGCGGGAGACCGCTGCTGTAATGCAAGAATTCACACGTAAGTGGTGACCGCGGGAGTCAATAGTGCAATAGATCTATATATATAACACAGACCTATCTATAACCAACTTAGGTTGTCGAAGGGCTCATGCCCCGGCCATGCCGAAACGTCAGGACCACATGAGGAGCCACGAGGAGTACCATGAACTTGATCACAACAGTTTGCGACGCGGCACCTACCCGGCATAACCGGAACCGCCTTACCAGGTCTTGCCTTGCCGCGAAACCGCGGGAAAAGATATCCACGTCTCAAGATTTGCTAAATGCGTCACCCTCTCCCGCTCTTCGGTATGCCCCCGTCCGAATCCCTTCCCAACTCGCGCACGCGTTCGACATCCACCACAACCTAGACCCACATTTTCTACGTTGCATAGCTCTCGCACACAGGTGGGGGCGTGAGGGGGACTTGAGAACGGTGTTGCCCCGGGTGGAATGGTGCACCTAATGTGAGCTATGGTTAGACTTTATCTTACCATCTTAGGTAGGAAGGCAGGTAGGTAGGCTGACAGGTCCTGGTCCTTAAGACGTACGTGCACCCTGTATGTCCACACGGCGCCTGTTGAGCCCTCGCCCTAGAAAGGATCTCAATCCGCCAACCACCAACCGGTTCACCCCACACACCCCCTAGATCCCGTTTGTGTTCACGTGGCTGAGGGGTAGAGGACTGCAGTGGGACTGTCTGTATGGGGGCCGGCAGCGCGAGGTGTAGCAGCGGAGCAGCACCCTTTCGGAGGATTTTGAGCCCTCACTTCCTGCTGCTGCTCCCGCCAGCTGAGCATTAGTCATTCCGCTGTTTAGGGATGTTACCTTTGCTCCTTCGCGACGGGTGGCGAACGGCCTATATCGGCATTCCCCCCAGCATTCTGGAACGCGCGAAAGCTTTGCGAAAGGGCCGCGGTGCAAAAGACCTCTCCCTTGTGGTCTGAATGGACAGACAGGCGGTTGCGTTGGTTGTGGTTGCGCCACCCTACACCGGTAGGGGGGTTCCGTCCTCAGGAAAGCACTAGGGCACATTTAGTGCTGCTGGCAAAAACAGTGCTATGCGGCACCGCCTCGCGTGAGGTGTGATGAGGGGGCGGTCATCTGTCCGTCGCCATCCCCGTGTCAATGCAGTGCCGATGCAAATGCCAGTGCCAAACAGCGACCCAGTTGAGGCAGAGGACACCATATGTGGAGTCCAAGCATGCCATGCAATGCAAGTCAATGGGAGGAAGCGGCGATTGTTGACGGTACATCACAACACTGGCAAACACACATACCACCCCCTCCCATCCCCCTCCTCGGGGTGCGCCCTGCTCTGCACCGAGCACTGCTACTGCGCGTGTGCGTGTGCACTGCGAGCACTGCGAAGCTGTCGTACTGAACAGCCACAGGTTCTGAACAGGGCTGCGCCTTCGCACCTCCGCCCCTTGCTCCGCTCCTGCACACATACATGCACACAGAAACGGGCGGTGTACGGCCTTTTGGCGTGTCGCTGATGATGGCCGGGTACGACGACAACGGGCCGCAGCTGTACCAGATCGACCCATCAGGCTCGTACTTTGCCTGGAAGGCGTCTGCCATCGGCAAAAACATGACCAACGCCAAAGCGTTCCTGGAGAAGCGCTACAGCGAAGAGGTGCGTACTAAACACTAAACCCTAACCCGGATCTGGATCTGGATCATAGGAAAACCGAATCTGGATCTGGATTCGAAATTGGTTTTGTACTTCCAGGGGAGAGGGTTCGTTCGTCGTCAGCCCACATGGTGTTGTAGCTAAGTGCTGTAGATGTAACTCGGAGTATACTGCACGACACGCGCCATGGGAGTTCTGGGAACTTCACTTTGTATGTCGGAAGGGAAAAATAGTGTGGCACAAGGGATGAAAAGGAGGTCATGTAATCCAACATTCCGTTTCGGAGTCCTCTCTGGCGCAACCGCATTTCATGTCCCCGATGTGCGCAGGTGGGTATCGAGGACGCCGTCCACACGGCCCTGCTGACGCTGAAGGAGGGCTTCGAGGGGCAGCTCAGCGGCTCCAACATTGAGGTCGGAGTCGTGGGGCCGGACCGTAGCTTCAAGGTGCGTTTGTGTGTATGTATGTATGTTTTTGTGCGCGTGCGAGCACAATGGGAGTGAAAAAGAGCGGCAGCAGCCGCAGCCGCATGTGCTCGGCGGAGTTGCGCACTCGTGGTTCGCTACAGCCGCGGACCTGGGGTGCCCCTGCCGTTGGGGCCTTTTTGGCCTTTACACGAGGGAAGGTTGGGAAGCCTAAAAATTATAAGTGGATTATGAATAACTTAATAAAGTGTTTTCTCTAATGTTTTGCTTCTCACAATTTGCTATACCCCATTCCTTCTTCCATACCACAAACGGTCCCTGGGGTTATGCTTGGCTCGTTCGGCTAAGCTTGCTTGGCTGCCTGGCTGCTTCAGGTTTGCCTGTTTCTGTGATAGTATCGGCTTGCAAACTTTCTTGCATGCGTACACACGTCGTGCTGTGCTGCTTTTGCCTGGGCTCGGTTCGCTTCGGTTTGTAAATTGCTGTGTAATGGGCTGTTGTCTCTTGCAAACTACGATGGGCGAAGGGGCTTCCACCGGTGGAAGCTCTTCAGGTTGCCGGCAAGTGGTTGGGAGTTACTGTTCCACTCTGTTTTTCCTTTTTGGCAAGTCGTTGATACTACAATAATGTGTTGCCGTGCTTCGCGCTTTTGGGCTGCAGGTTCTCACAGAGGCCGAGGTCAACGATTACTTGCAGGAGGTGGAGTGATGCGGATGCTGGCGCTTGCAGTGGTGGTGCTTGTGGGGGTGGGGGCGGCAGATTGATAGCGGTAGCGCGCGGCTACTGCTGCTGCTGTTGCTGGTGTTGGTTTGAGTAGTGACGGCTGGCGAAGTACACATCAATGATCGGTTTGTGATGATAAGTACTACTCGCTTCCAGGCGGACCCAGCTCTGGGCTGCGACCGACTGACTCCAGGCTGAGAGGCTGTTCGGAAGGAAATCTGCTCTCTGGGACTGGCAACGAAAAGATAAAAAAAAGTCGTGATGGCAGATGCGAAAGGCATGGACTTGGCTGTGGTTTGTTCAAAGTGAAGCAAAGGCGCGTGGCTGCGTTTGCCGCCTCAATCCTCTGTGTAGGCAGGCAGGGATTTTGGGCTACTGGGCAACTCACATCGCTTGTGTTGGTCTTCAGCTGTGGAGCTGAGCGGGAGGCGGGGGATGTGCGTGTAAGGTCGGCAGGGTGGTCATGTTCCGCAAAGTGCTGATGACGATGGGGACCGGCAGGCGGCAACCAGATTTCTGTGCGCCAGCACTTTTTTTGACTGGTAGTTTGCAAGCTATCCTAGCTCTTGGCTTGGCCCATTTGACACCTGTACACCTCTCTACCTACCGGCAGTGGAGGCAGCATTGCCCTGATAGCTGCAGCCAGCTAAAAGCAGTGCTGAACGGCAGGCCGTAGCAAAATTGTGTTTTGCCGTCCATGAGATGTGGATTCAGCGCGCGGTGGCCTTCTTCGCCACTGGGCTGGTGCTTACAACAAACACACTTATGCGACGTGTTTACAGAACAAGAGACTTAAAAAACGTTTCAAGACGGGGACCTACACCACACATGCATGCGTAAGCGATGTCAGGAGAATGTGGCTATGCAATTAGGCTTATGAAAAACGATACGACATGCATACAGCCTCCGGCACAAGGGCACAGTTATGGGCGCAAGGACACATCACGCATCCAACTACCCGCAGTCAGCTGTTCTCTTAAAAACACATCCAGCCAGAGTGAATACCTTAAGGTTTGAGGTTGAGGTTTCCCAGTAAGCTGCACATCCAGCTAACAAACGTCCGACACGTATGCACACATCCAGCCCCAAAATATGTCGTCATCTCAACGCCCAAACATGGTAGTGGTAATCGTAAGCAGGCGAAGTCAGCATGGAAACCCTAGCATGGGAGAAAAAGCATGCGCCAGTGAAAAGCGTATCACCTGCCCCTCGTGCCATCCAGCAACGCGCTCGCAAGTAAGCCGTACCCTGCCAATATCAGGCAGCAGCTGCAGTAGGGATGTGGGCAGGTGTTTCAACAGGGTCTGCAGGACAGAAGCTGCCAGGACAAGCGGCAAGAAGACCCTGGATCCCCCTCACCTCTTGCGTTACCTGAGATGCACCGCGGCAAACTACCAGGCAAAGCAGTTATCGCGAACACTACTACACAAATCGACCGCAATGCACCACCCTACACCAATCCGCCCTCAATTTCCTTTCCACCCCGTGCTAGGCGGGACCCGCGCAAAATGCCACAAACGGCACATGGCGAAGCCAAGGTAGATACCAGCATGGACACACACAACCATCCACACAACACAGCTCCGACATGTGCCACAGGTATTATCCAATCACTGCTCTATTCCACACGCAGCCGCGGCTTTGTATTTACGTATCTATGCGAACACTTGTCCAAACGACATATTTACGTCAATACCCTCTCAGGATCACAGGATCTACCCCGTCCGCCGCAGCAACAATATCCAACGCCCTCACCAAAACTCTTCCCACGAAACCGTTCGTGTTTATCACCTTCCCGCCGCCAACTTATCCTCTTATCATTAGCTAACAACCCGCTAGGCAAGGCTGCCGAGAGCACAGGCGCCCAACCATTCAGCTATCCCGCAATCCAGCCATGCCCAGACAGGCACTTCAATCAATAACCGTGCTTGTCGCAATGCCGGACGCCCACCACGCACCGCAGACATCTCCGTGTGTGCAGCTCTGCGTAACACTGCACACTTTGTTCTCTTGCCTGAGGACACACAACCTAACAGAAAGGAAGAATCGTGTCGGCAACGTCATCTGGAAAATCGCCCGTCAAAATTAAGCAGTGGTCAGCCGCATCATAGCAGGAGACCTCATACGTTCAAGGCAGCTAACAGTGGCGGAGACGACGGCACGCACCGACGGGTACTCCCATCCGAATGGAATGCTAAAAGTTTCCCCCGCGCGCCACTAGCAGCCTCTATGCACAACGCCTGTACGGGTGCTTTCTGCTGAGAGTAATATTGCAACACCCTCCCTCCAGCGCCCGACGGATCCCCACATAGCCCCTGGGGGCGCGGGCCCTGACCCTGGGCTGCAACGAGGGCTCAGCGCACCTCAAGCCCAGATAACCGCTAGACACACAACCAATATGGCGACGTGTGAACCTTAAACACCCTCGCAAAGCAAGTAGGACGCCGAACATGCGCGAGCAAGCAGGTTCACGCATGAACGACTTTTTATAACTATGGCACGGAATAGCTATATATAAGCAAGCCATCCAGGTCAACGGTCCAGCATTTTCACAATACAGCAGCATGACGATATTCAGAAGCACATGCACACCTCCCAGACACCCTTTAATTCATATCAGCAAGAGCCACGGGCGGAAGCAAAACCCATTGCTGAAAAGGAAGAATTATGTACGAGGAAGAAACACACAGGAAAGGATAACAGAGGCAGTGCAGTCAAGGAAAGTTCGAGCGATGGCGCATATAGGGAATTGTACCGTCCACCAACGACCCGCCTGTGGCAAAGCTAGACCCCGGTGTCATCCCCACCATCCCCACCACTCTCACCCTCGCCGCAAACAGCGCAGCGGCCTCTCCTAGCAGGGTCGTCCAGAAATCGAGCTATGAGAGTGCTTCTGGTACCTGAGGTAGCGTCCCTCTGACCACCACCTAAAAAGCAGCCCCAAGCCATATCGTCACAGTTGCTTTAATAGGTATTGCTTTATAAAGATCGCAGGGAGCGAGAGTGGGTGAGAGTGGGTGAGAATGTGATATCAAGATCAGCATCTTTCGCGCCTGGAGAAGTTTCCGAAAAAACCTGCCAAACTAACTGCGCATGCGCACACAAACATTTTTTGCGTTTGCACCCACCATCAGTGACCTCGTGACGCCGTCGTGTTCAAAAGATAGGTAAGTACTCGGGGTTGGTTGGACTGGCGGGGGCGGTTGCGCCGGCCGCAGCTAACAACAATTTGAGGGTCCCCAGAGGGGCCGCTTCTTCCACTCCTCTCACCCGTTCCCTCTGCCCTTCACAGCTTCTAAGCACACAGCTACGCGCAGCCCAACCTCAAGCCCTGCTTCTCAATGCCCGTTCATGCAGCCAGCCGCATCTCGGCCTGCTACCATACCCGACCTGACCACAGTCACCACGAGTTGACCAAACAAGGTTAATGCAGTAACACGTCGCGTCCAAGGGGTAGAGTCTCCACCTTGTAAGGCAGGGTATAATAACAGCTGTACGAATATCACGGCTGTCCAAGAGGTTATATGTAAGCCTCCGGGCGGTTCAGGTCGCTTAACTGGCCTTTGGGCCCCTTAATCGCCACGCCCATCCTCGGCAGTGCATACACAGTGGCAAAAGCAGCAGCCTGGACAGGTGGTGTGCCGTATGCGGCAGAGATACGTTAACCAGTGACTCCAGGCCGCACCACGCGCGCATGTAGACTCACACAAGTCCTCACAGGCACAACAATCCATGCAAAAGCCTGACTGTAGAAACACAGGTCAACACAGGTCAACACAGGTCCCTTCCGCACAATGCCTCCACTACCAGAAAGAGCAAGCAGCTGCGACCGTCAAAGGGACCGTCATATCCTCCCTTCACGTCTGCAGCCGCCGCGGCGGAAGATGCATGTTAGGGAGGTGGGAGGAGGAAGGGACGCGTCCAAGGAGAGCTCGATAAGACGTCGCACGCTCAGACGGTGCAGACCTCCGGGGATGTCCGCTCTACTGGGTGTTCCACTTCCTGCCCATCTCCACGCACACACAAGCGCGCGCTCGCAGACGCTCCACAATTTCACAAGTGCACATCTAATCCGACATCAGCAGTCGTCACAGGTATGACGCGATGCGCCCTGCAAGTGCAAGGTAGTTGTACACTCTCGACTTAGGTCCCCAAAGCTTCACCCAACTCTCTCTCCTCAGCCAGCCAAGTCTCAGGTCGTGGTGGCGCACCGCTCGAGCCCGAAGAACTTCCGCCCTTCTCCTCTTCGTCATCTTCTCAGCGTCCACCGCCTTAAAACCTATGTTTTTGCCTGCACGGCCGTCCTCCTGCCCAACCCCCCATCTCCTCCTAGATAGTCAGCTGCTCAAGGTTGCTTTTGTGGGAAGGTGGATCACACGTTAGGTTCTCTGTAATGAGGAGCGAGGCCCCCACGTCTCCTTTAAGCAGGCCCTGTGTAACAGAGGGACGTGTGCGTGTGTGGCTCTTCCGCCGCCGCTAGGGCTCAGGGAATGACACCTCCATGGCGCCCTCCCAGATGACCGCCCACGCCACCACCAGCACCGCCGCACATGCCGCATACAGCAGCACCACGGCGTCCCCAGCAGCCTGCCACGAATGCCACAAGTGAGGCTGCTGTTGCTGCTGTGGGTGGCATTGCGTCATTCCAGCTCCAGCAGCAACAGTGACACCGATGCCGTCGTCTCCGGCTCTTGCGCTGGTGCACGGAGTTTCTTGCATAGCCAGCGGTGCAAAGTCACGGCACCTTTCTCCGTCAGCAATCGCTGTAACTGTTCCGTCTTCAAAGAGCAGCATTCGCCCTGCACCCTTTCTAACACCACCATCGGATCGAGAGCTGCTGGAGGAAACCGACAATGAGGCCCTGCTGGATGTTGCCAAGAGAGGATGACTGCAGTCCGCGGCATCACCTCCCAAGGGCCCTGGCGATAGCGGCGGCTGTGGTGATGTTGATGACGACACTCCAGCTAGCGCCGAGAGGAGTGATTGCCTTAGGGTGGTGATGCTACTGCGTGCTCCAGCAGCAGCAGCAGCCGCGTCCGAGGCGGCGGCAAAAGCTACCAGGGCGGCGACGGCAGCAGCGGAGGGAGGAGGGGGCATGGTGCCACCCGTACCACGGCTCAAGGAGCGTGCAGAGTGGCGTGGAGAGGGGCCGCCAGTTGTTGTAACCGAGCCGCTCCCGCCGCCGCCGCCTGCTGCAGTACGGGCTGCTCCGCCAGCCAGCTTGACAGGACTACAACTGAGCAGCAGTCCTGCCGAAAGCAGGCCCCCTACGTCAAAGCTGAAGCTCGGGTTCCCGACGTGGTGGCCGCGGCGCGAAGATGACGGCACCGGCGATGGCGACATCGACAATGGAGGCGACGATGGCGACGACGGCAGCTTGGGCAGCGACCCAGGAGACTGCTGTTGACTGCCTGCGCGACCCAGGGCCCCCCCTCCCTGGTCCAAAGGATCAAAGCAAAAGGAGCTGGTGCGAGCATGACCGCGTGAGGCGTTGGTGCGAGGCGATGGGGGCGCACCCATAGCCTTGGACTTTCTAGGAGATGCAATACTGCCCACGTCGGCCGCAGTGGTCGTCACGGTGGCCTGAGGAGTGGCATGGGGCAAATGGGCTAGATACGGTACTCCGGAGCCCAAGTCTGCCTTCATCCCCGGACCGCTGCTGCTGCCGCAACCGGCATTCGCTGCCGGACTGCCTTCCAATACCTCCCTGTCACAAGACGCCGCGCCCGTAGAAGCTCCAGCACTGCCCCAAGCGCCTGTACCAGCGGCAGCAGCGGCGCCACCGCAGCCCGTGCTGCGACGGACGCGCACCACTACCGTGGCGAAATCAGGGCCCTCCCTCGTCGACTCGAACACACTGGACGACTGCTGCGGCGGTGGCTGCTGCTCCCGTTGAGCCTGGGCATGGACCGGGCACGGCCGCGCCGTGGCCGTGTCCGCAGGTATCGGCCGTTTGCTGGTGTTGCTCCACCCGCAGTTGCTGATTCCCGCACCAACAGGCGGCTTGTTCTCACCCTGGGCCCATCCATCTCTGGCACCAGAGGCACCACCAATCCAAGTCGTAGCCGTTGTCCAGCTGTTGCTGGCGTGAATGGAAGTTACGTCGTCGACGGCCGAGGCATAGGCGACTGCAGCGCCGGTGGGCGGGCTGCTGGTGCAAGCAGGCCGCATGCCGTCGCGAGGGACCGTCCTGCAGCGGACGCCGCTTTTACCACTACCACAACCATCATCATCCAGTGTTCCAGCAGGTGCGTCAGTTTCACGGCAGCGGGAATCGGCCTTCGTCTCCGTTGAAGTCGTTGTCGTCGTCGCCGTCACCCTTGGGTGACGCCGACCATCCAACGACGAGGCAGAGGACGCGGCGGGTGCCGACCGTCGTAGCATGGCGCCCCCAAGTCCGCAAGGCGAGACATGGCGGCCTGCGTGGCGACGGCCACTAGGCGTCAAGCGGGAATCGTTCGGTTGGTACACAGTCACCGCCGAGCCAGCCCTCCGCTGCCGACTTTCCGCGTCCTCCCATTCAGCTCCATACGCGGATGGACGTACACTCGGAGCACCGTATCCCTGCCGCTGACAGTGGTCGTGAGGATGATCTGGGTCGCTTGCGGCTTCGTCATCACTGGTGCCATCAGTGCTGGGAGCGATTCCTCCTTCAGACCTGCACGCCCTTGCCGTCGCCCTTGCAGCGGCACGCGTGCCTCCCGCACCTGACACTGCTGCCACCGCCAGCGCGGCAGCGTCTGCCAGACGCTGTTGGACCCACCATCCTGCTCGGCGACCCGCAGGGCCTGCAAGGCCCTGGACGTGCTGCTGCAGAGAAGCCCAGGCGCTGAGCAGGCTGACAGAATGCACTGCGGCCGGACTCGCTGCACCCCTCGAGGGTGCAGCCGCCAACCATGTGGCCGACGCGATTTGCTGATCCTCCGGACTGGACCTCCTGCTACTGCTCCCTTCGCTTCTTCTTCTCCCGACTCTGTCAGTGTCGCTATTGCCGCTGATGCCATTATTGCCGTTGCAGCCCGATGCATCCAGGGCTTGCATCTGGCGGGCTCGCAGAGAGGATGCGGAGTCGGTCTCGGACCGCCGCCGTGCAGCCACCCCGAACTCCTTCATACTACCTTCCGTTTGCAAGATCCCTGGGGCCAATGATGATAGTGGGTGCTGGGGGAGGAGCAGGGGCTGTGAAGGATGCATGGCCACCGGTAGGGTCATCGGCACATGCGGTGAATCGGAGCATGGGAATGCCGCGGCGACAAGTCGCCTACCTACATTCGCCGGCTGGCAACCCAACGATTCTCCAGCACCACAGTCACCGCCATCGCCGCCGGCGCTGCAGCGACTGCTTTCCGCAACGGAGAAGGCACTGTAAGCCCTGAGCGCTGCGCAGTCTTCACTCGCAGTGACCGTAACACTGGCGGTGGCGCTCGAGAGGGGGGCCGTGCAGCTGCTGCAACTGGCTGCTGTGGTGCTGGGACCCGCACTTCCGCCGGCTCCTGCAACGTTGCCCAGCGCAACGGCAGCAGCAATGGCAGACACAGGTACAGGGCTGCTGCTGCCGCAATGGACGTCTGTGCTGGCGACGTCTGAAGTGATGCCCACGGCATCGCTTGCCGCCGTGGGCGAGGCGGCGACAGACCCTGAACGGCTCGTGGCATCGCAGTACACATCCGCCGCGAGCCTTTCACTGCTGCGGCTGCAAGCGCAAGCGTCGTCGTCTGCGTCGTTGACATTGTCCGAGACCGCTATAGCCGCGGCGTTGTGGTAAGGTTTCGGAAATACCATGACGGGCGAGAGTGCCGAGGCCAGGGCCATGCCAAGGTAACCGAAGCTGTTGAGTCCACCGCTGACGCTACTACCGCCGGCTGCGGCTGTGGCTGCGGCGGCAGGGGCGCCGCTCACGGAACTGTGGGGTGCACCCCGGCGCCATGGGCTTTGAAGCGATGCCCCCGCCCATGCCGTCGACAGCGATGCTGAAGTGGATGAAGACCCAACGGAGACTGGCGCCGATACGTGTACAGCTGCGGAGGAAGGCCGGATGGCGGCAGGCCAACCCAGAGAAAGAGAGGTCCACATAGAGCCGGCGCCAGCCCTGGCGGCCTGGGGAATGGGGCCGGGAGGGTGGCCTGTGTCTCCGCCGCCGTCGCGAGTCTGGCCACAGGAGCCTGCGGAAACCTCTAGGGATGGTCGTTTACCGGTAGCTGACAGGAGCTCCGTAGCGGATATGGCCGACACCGCTGCGGACAAAGACCGCGGCGGAGCAGCAGTCGTATCACATGTTGATGATGGAGTGGCTGCAGCTGCAGTCCCTGGCCGCGGTGGTGCTGTCGCTGCTGCAGTGGCCGCCGGTTGCCAAAATACTCCAGTGCTGGGGCTGCGGAAGATGGCTTGGACAGAAGTCGCAGCGGCGGCGGCAAGCCCGCCAATGCCGACGCAGCCGATACCTCCCGCAGGTGCCGATGCAGCCGTCGTGGCGGCGGCAGCGGCAGGGGCGACGGCGGCATCACCTGGTGCACCAATCTCCTCCAGAAGCGGCGGCATACCTGATGCCGTAGCAACCGGCCCTATGCGCGACCTCGCGCCAACCCCGCCTGCCGCCACCGAGGCACCGGCGGCAGTAGCAGCGTTGCTCGTCGGGCGGTGCGCTGCGGGCACGTACGGTGCCGGCAGGGTGCCGTCCCGCAGCGCCTGCCAGTCAAAGCCCGCAAACCAGGGATGTGCGGCCACCTCGGCGCAGCTCTGCAGCCGGCGGCGGGGCCGCGGCACCAGCAGGCGCCCCAGCAAGTCTCGGAGCTCGGGACTGAAGGCGGTGTGGCGCGGAGCGAAGCACCAATTGCTGCGAAGGTAGTCGTCCGGGTGGCTCTGCGGTGGATATTGGATATTGACGCGGAGGCAAAGAAGGGGCAGACGAGTTTGCAACGGGCAATTGACCTGGTCCTTTTGGGCTTGCTTTTCCTGAGCGGTACAATTTCAAGACGGCGGCTAGCGTGCAGCTCGGGGTCAGGGTGTTCATGCCCCTCTTCTCTTCTCTCCACGACTCCCTTCCCTCCACAAGCACACCCCTCTGCTGTCCGTGACTGCTGTCCATGTATAAATACCACCTCCTGTTGCGGCCGGCCACGTGTGATTTAGCTAAAGTAGCCGTTAATCTATTGACAAGAAAAAGAGAAATCTGGCCAGAACTGGACATCCTAAGATTAAAAACTGAGGGCGTTCATTTTTTACCCTAGATACTGATACTGCCTGTTTTCAAGCCCCACCTGACTGTCCACCTCTACCTCCCCCCATTCTTGCCCAGCATCAACCAGCCATACCATAAACCCCACCCATTCCTACCCACCCACGCGTCCCCCACTCACCGCGGGCAGGTGTCCCGTAAGCATTTCGTACAACACCACTCCGACGCTCCAGATGTCTGCATTGGCGCCGTAGCTCGTGTACTTGGGGCCTGTGCCGTTTGCCCACACCTCCGGGGCCTGGCGCATGGCGAAAAGAGCGTTTTCATGCACACGCAACACAGCGTTAAAATCATAAAAGCGTTGTAAAGCGGCTTGGAACAGCGCAGATCTCAAAACAGCTCGGCGCAAACGGCATACGGCGAGGGCGCTGTGCTAGTGAGTAGCATTGGGATTTCAAGTTGAGTGTGTAGAGTCGTAGCTTTCTGTGCGGCATCCTCTATGTCCACCCACCACTTGTTGGCCAATGAGCCAGCCCTCTCACCGCCACACCTCCATCTGCAACTCCTATTACACACGTTAAGGAAAGATGAGGCGCCATCACGCACACCGCCTGTGCTTACGCCTTCCACCTACGGGCCCCGCGCTTACGCGTTTTCCACTTACTTCAAGATTTATGTGTTTAATGGACGTCACGAGT